GGGAACCATAAACTACACCATGCAGCCCCACACCCGCGCCAGCGTAAGGTCGGGCTTCTGCCCGGTCAACAGCTGGTACGGAGTCGTTCCCGGTGGCGTCGTCGACCGCTCCAAGCAGTTGCGCACCCAGACCGCTTGTCCTAGAGCAAGGTGCCACCAGTGGTGCTGCACGCTCATGTGCAGCAGCATCGTCCGCACGGACTCGACGACCGTGCGCATCTCCCGCTCAGCCATGCCATTCTGCTGCGGAGTGTAGGGGCACGTCAGGTCGTGGACGATGCCCTTCCCGTCGACGAAGTCGGTGAACGCCTTCCCGAGGAACTCCCCTCCTCGATCGGAGCGAAGCGACAACACCGACTTCTTCGTCTGCCGTTCCACTAGCGCCAGCCACCGCTGAAACTCCCGCAGCACATCGCTCTTCCTAGCGACCGGCATTGTCCATACAAATTGAGTATGGCGATCCTTCAGCAGCAGGAAGTACAAGCTGCCATCCTTGGCAGCTACTCGAAATGGCCCGCACAAGTCAATGTGCACGACAGCTAGCGCCTCCGCTGCGTCTGAGCCCTTGGCAGGGAAGGTGTGCCGCGCCAGCTTTCCTCCGGCGCACGAGACACACGGCGGGTCTGCTCCGGTCGACAACGTGATGTCGAGCCCAGTAGCAACATCATGCTTTACCGAGCTCTTGATCGTGTCGACGCTGACGTGTGCGAGCCGCGCATGCATCCTGTCGGGGGTCGTCTTCGTCGCTGAGATGATCGTCCGCAGAGCCACCACCTCGGTCGACGGCGACTGCGTCGAGCAGGGGCGAAGGTCGGTGCAGAGTACCCGTCCGGTGTAGCGTGCTCGACCGAGCACCTCCCCATTCGCGGCGACGAGCAGTATCTCATCGCCATCGCCCTGCAGCAGCACTCCGCTCTCCTTCAGCTGGCCAGCAGACAACAGGTTTGCCTGTACGCCCGGAACGTAGAGTACGTCGGGGATGAGGACCCGCTTCCCGGCCTCCCCTTGCAGAGCGACGGTTCCGCGACCCTTGACAGGCTGCAATGCCCCTTTGAACCCACGCACGTGCTTCACCCCGTCGCTCGGCCCCATGTCGACGAAGACCGACTTCGTCCCCATCAGGTGGTGGGAGCACCCGCTGTCGAGCAACACCGCCATCGGGTTGGCCTGCACAGCTGCCGCCACTGCCTGGAAGTCCTCGCCGGCCTCCGGCGCCAGCGAGACCGTCGGCTCCACCACGCCGACCATCGAGCACGACGCCTCCCCGTCGCCTCGGCTCTTGCCGCTGGAGCTGTCAACGTCTTTCGTCGACGACGTCTTCTTCGACGCTTGCTTCTCCTTGCGCGGCTTCTCAACTCGACGGGGGCGACGACTGGCCGATCGTCCGCGGCCTCCCTTGTTGTCGTCCTCGTCACTGTCATCGCGGTCGGGGCACTCAAAGGAGAGATGGTCGGGATCGCCGCAGATCCAGCACTCGCGCCGTCGACCACCACCTCGTCGACCCTTGTCCCGCGTCGACCTCTTCTCGTCGACGTCCTTCGTCGACCGCCCACCTCCGCTACCACTTCCGCCCGGCTTCCCGCGCTGCCCTTGCTGCTGATTCAGCTTCGTCGATGCAACGTAGTTCGCCTGCGGAAGAAGCTCTGTGGGCTGTTCGGCCTCCTGCATCGCCTCATCTTGAAGAATGTAGCTGGTGATGGAGCCCTCGTCGAGGGACTCACGCGTGCCGGGCACCATCATCATCCTCTTCATGAGATTGTAGCTGCGCGGCAAGCCCTTGACGATGTGGGTGATGTAGGACGCCGTCGAGTATTCGGCGCCCGCCATTCGCATCTCAGCCAGGATCCGTCAAGCACGGTTGCAGTAATCCGTCGCTGACTCCTGCTCGCCCATCCGAATGTGAGTCATCTTCTTCTCTAGCTGTCCGATGTACAGGTCGTCCCTGACCTGGTACGTCGATATGATGAAGCGCCATGCCTGGTGACCAGCATCCAGTCGCTCTCGACAGCTCCTGAGCACCAGCTGCACCACCGGCGAGCAGCACCTCGAGATGACCATGAAGGTGAGCAGGTGAGCAGAACGAAACTCCCCGCGCAGCCCGATATCCTCCTCGGGCGGAATTGGCACAGTGCCGTCGGCGAAGCCCTTCAGCCCGGCGACCTCCAGCTGAGGTTCGATCGACTCCCTCCAGGTGATGAGGTCCCGTCGACCTTGCAGCGGAGCGACGGTTATTCGATCCGGCGAAAACTTGAAGTAGCCATACGCCGGTGCAATCCCGCCCGCCGTCACATGCGTCGTCGCCGAGAGCCCGCCACCACTTCGTAGAGGAGAGCGACGTCGAACATCGACGTCGGCGTGCGAGCTGCCTGCAGCCGCCGTCGACCGCTGCACTCGCGCCTGGATTCCGTCGACACCACCGTCGACCTTGATCACTCCTCTCTGCCTCGTGCCTTCGTTGCCGCTGACTCGTGCACCACCGTCGACCTCGTCGTCGACGCCACCTTCGTTGCGCACCGGTCGAGGACAAGTAGGACGGGAAGGGTGTTCAGTCGCCCACTGCGACCGGATGCCCAACTCGGCGATCACCAAGGGGATCGTCCCGTACTCGCCATCCGCGTGGCGTCTCCTCGCGTCAGCCAAACGTGCCTCCAAGGTGTCCGTTACACCCGCATCAACCACGGGGTCGACCATGGCGACTATCGCTACTGCCGGCCTACGAACGACTTAGTAGGTGCAAAAGTCGGCTCCTATCTGAAGGTCGCGTGTTCGATCCACGCTCACCGCACCATGCGGAGATACACTCTACAACGGTTGTGAGCTGGACTACAGGGTTGGCACGAACTACTAGAGGTGATCGTAGCTTTGCTTGGTTCCTTAGTGCTTGCACATTCACGGGAGAAATTGGCAAGAGTTTCCACTAGCAAAGTTGAGAATCCCAGAATAATCCAAGAAGGAATGACAACAATGACTATATCAGGCACCTAGCAACCCTGCAGCTAGCCTGGTCGACCGCCAACGCAGCTCGGTCGACCGCCTGCCAGCATTGCGTAGAGGAGCCGCGCCAGCACTACAGAAGGGCGACCTGCCAACAAAGCAGGTCGACGGCGTGCCCCGTAGAACACAGGAGTGCGCGCGCTCGCAGGTGTGCGCAGACGATTGGCCCGACTTGCCTCGTTGGGCATCCGTCGGCTGTTGTCTGCGCCTGACGAGCCACATCGACTTCGGGATACCAGTCCGAAGTCGTCTGCGCCATCGCGATCTCGACGACGTTCGCGAGCCTTCGCAGAACTCGTCGAGCAGGTTACCCGGTCGACCTGGTCGACCCCTGGTGCTCTGGTCGACCCCCAGGTGCCTCCGGTCGACCACTGGGTCCCTCTGGTCGACCACCAGGCGCTCCTGGTCGACCACAACTCCCGTCGAGCTACCCCCTGGTCGATGGACCCCTTCCGTCGACCAGAACTGCTCTGTCGACCTCCCGGTCGAACCGTAGGTCGACGGGATGCTCCCCAGACCTCCCGGTCGAGTTGCAGTTCAGCGGGATGCTCCGTAGACCTCCGCGTCGAACTGTAGGTCGACGGACTGCTTCGTCGACCTCCCGGACGGCCCACCCGTCGCACTGACCAGTCAGTTGCAGCTGTCGAGCTCCTTGGTCGACAGCAACACCACAGCGGTCCGCTGCAGCTCGACGTAACCTGTCGAGCAGCTATCCCACTGTGAACGGTCGGCTGCTACTCCCGTGCATCCGACCAAGTCGTCGGCGTTGCCCAAGCGAGGGCGGGGCCAACACTCCATTCCTGTTAACAGTACTCACGACAAGGGAAAATCGATGACCAGACACGAGACGAGACATGCTTCCGTACTGCATCAGTGTTACTGTCGTGATGCAGAAATCGTCTTGCGCGAGAGTACTCGCGAAACTCGTTGACGTTCGCTCGTTCGTCGTCAGCTGACAGTTGTTGCCAGGTTGTCTTGTCCACATGACCAGGGGTATTCCTTCCTCTGACCAGTCAAAAACTGTCGGCGCTGTGTTGATGTAGTTTTGTCAATGTTTCCCTGCCCGACATCTACACATCAAATCGTGAAGATGAAAATTGTTGGGGGGTTGTACATTCTAGTTGATACTTATACTAGGGTACCAATCAGTTCGAAGGAGTGGTACGTATACAATCTCTTATTTCGGGCAGAGCCTGAATGTCGAAACGATGTTCCTGCTGTGCTGAAAAACGACGACTTCTTTGTGAAAGAAAATTCCTCCCAATCTTTCCTGGGGTTGGTTGGTCTCCGCGGACCGCGACCCACACTGTTCAGTGGTCTGACCAGTCTGCCCCTCACACTTCCGCCTAGGCTCTGCGCAGCGCGACCTTGGCTGTGTGTGCGCCAACTGAGAATTGCTCTCAAGTCTACTGGACAAATACCTGCACGCATTCCCTCATTCACCAGCAGAACGCATTTGAGCATCCTATTACACACGCCCTGCACTCGTAGCTTCCCTCGAAAATCGACTGTTCTTGGCGTAACTTGCTTCGATCGTCAGACACGATGACGCGCGCCGGTCTTATCCCTCTCCTCGTCCTGCTCCTCGTCGCGCCTGGTATGCTCGTAGCTCAGAAAAACTCGTCTACTAAATTGGTCCAGTGGACGCCGACTTCCCAGCCTTCCTTGTTTGAATTAAAGTAGTTGGCCGGCGCTCCCTTTCCTTGAATGTCAGACGCGTTACTTCGGGTTTCAATGTGTCATTACGATCTTAACGCGTCAACTTGCAACATCTGATCTGTTTTTTTCTTGCGCTGCCTGCGCAGTTCTCGGTCACGGGGGTGGCGGTGGTTTCGGCGGCGGAGGCCGCGGCGGAAGGGGTCCCCACGGCCCGCCGATCGACGCGTCTGTCACCGGAAATCTCACAGGTGCGACGAGTGCACCATCTAGCACGGTTCAGTCCGCCAGATTCGTTCATCCCGTCACAATGCGATCCCGAATACATTTTTTTCTGGAATTTCCGTTCACTATTGGATGCCAAACGTGCGCTGGTCTCTTTCCGCCCCTCCCCGGAACCCCCACTCCCCCCTCCCCTTCTTCCCCCACCGCCCCCCTTCTTCCCCCTCCCTCGCCCCTTCGTACCATCCGCAGGTCGCGTGGGCGCCTGGGTCTCTAACTGCACGACGGACATCGGCGCGACTCGCGGCAAGTTCCTGCTCGCCGTCTTTAAGGACGAGTCGTCGGGCACGCCCGTCTACAACCTCTATTTCGACGCGGATCTTGACGAGTACAGCGGAACCGCGCCCGACACGATCAACATCGTGCAAGGCGCGGCGTGTGACTCCACCGCCACCGCCGCCCTCACTCTGCCGTCCACCGGCTGGACCACACAGACGCGCGGCGGGCGCGGCGGCTCGCACACGGAGCTGCGCGTGACGGGCACCGTGGAAGGCGCCGACGCGACGGTCGTCGAGGCGCTTCTCGCGGGCGTGCCGAACGCGACGGTGACGCAGAACGTGTTCACCAAGGTGATCAACGGCGCGAAGCAGGGCTTCCAGAACGCCTTCGGCGGACGCCGCCGCGGGCGCGAGCTCGCGGGGAACAGCGCGGGGAAGCTGACGCAGCAGTTCCTGAAGCGCCAGCGCCAGCGCCTCGCGTGGATGGGCGCGAAGACCAAGGCGCTGTTCGCGACGTTCATCGGGACCACCGACACCACGACTGATTCGCCGTACGCTGTCATTTTTACCGACAGCACGACCGGCAACTCCTGGAGCGCCGCGCTCACTGGGAACTTCGGCAAGTGTGGCGGTCGTGGCGGGCGGGGTGGCAACGGGCCTGACGGTGACGGCGATGGTCCTGGTGGCGCTGGTGGCCGTGGTGGCCGTGGTGGCCGTGGTGGTGGCTATTAGAGTGATGCTATGAACTCAGCTGAAATGTGGGGGCGGATTTGATTCAAGCGTGGATCACGGAGAGGAGTGAAGCTAGCATGTCAGGGGAATGCGGCGTTGGGTGAGGGGGGGAATTGGGGTGGGGTTTAGAGGGGAGGGGGGAAGAGTAGGAGGTGGGGGGGGGCGTGGGTCGCAGGGGGAGGGGATGCGGGGGGTTTGATCACGTGGGGTCTTCGGTCGACTTTTTGAGAAACTCGGTTATGGACGCTTCGTTATTGTCCTCTAGAGTCGACCCAAGACAACCACTTTTGTGTGTTTTTTTGTTGAGTGGCAGTGTTAAAGTGGGACTAAAATGAAATTTCGCTTAATACTACAATAGCTTGTTCACATTCTGGTATTCCAACCGGCAGAATGCTCCAATGTTCCACTTGGACGCAAACATATGATAAAATAATCATGTTAATGTTACAATGTCATAGAGAGCATCAACACATCAGCCTCTCACTGCTGCTTAGCTTTACTGAACCTCACCAGAAGCAGAAACGTAACCAACCGTACAAACACCCCAAAACCCAGCAGCACCGCAACATTCTCCCACATGTCGAGCTGATTCACCGCCAGTGTAGTCGTTAGCAGCTGAGGCCCGTCCCGCAAACATGTGCTTGTAGTGATTTTGCTATAAGGAGTACCAGCCAGCACCTGCCGCATCCCCACCATGGCCTTATTGATTCTGGTTGCATTTAAATACGGCGCCACGGGTGTATTATCAAACATTGTGCCAGCTTCCAAGTAACAGGGTCCTCCGGGCCTGGTGGGGTGATGATTCAGGAGAGAAATGGAGATTGGGGATTGGTGCTGAGGAGTGGGAGACGGTGGGGAAAGATGGTGCGGAGTGGGAGATGGTGGGGAAAGATAGTGAAGTGGGAGATGGCGAGAAGTGATGCCCACATCATTCCACCCATACTCATGTCCCCAGCAAAAGGGTGCCGATTTCTCACCTGCCAAACTTGGTTGATCGTCAGCGCTTCATAAGCATAGTTCATGGGCAAGAGGTAGTGCAGCCAGACCCAGCCGTCCGGGATGCCATTCCACTGCATGCAGTGTCACCCTCAGCATACAGGTTAAACCCACTCCTCACCTGCCAAACTCGTTGATCGCCAGTGCCTCATAGGCATACTTCATGGGCGAGAGGTAGTGCAGCCACATCCACACTTCCGGGATGCTCTCCCTGTCAATGTAGAACCCACTGAGGAGAGCGAAATACGCCATGAGAGCTATGGCCACTGCATATGCCAGCACAACGCTGGATAGGAAGGAAGGAGGGAGAGAAGGCACAGGGAGAGGAGGGGAGAATGAGGGTGTGTGCAAAGAGCCTCCACAAGGCTCTCCCTGTCGATGTAGAATCCGGCAAAGAGTGGAGGAGAAAAGAGGGGTGAGAGGAGAAATTCGCCACACTTACTGGTTGACGCAGATGCTGACGCATGTGGCGATGGCATTCCCGGTAAACAGCATGGCAAAACACGCAAGAACCATGAAGCAGAAGCCTTGAGCGCCCCCCTGCAGCCCCAGGCACCACCAGGCCTCGAGCACGAGCGTGAGCGCCATGAGCAGGTGCAGGGGGAGATAGACGAGCGTGGAGGAGAGCAGGTAGGTGGACGGGCGGTACGCGCTGCTGCTGGTTTCTCGAAGAAAGATGTTTCGCTCCTGAGAGAGGGTGGAGGGAGAGGAGGACGCATGGCATTGGATGGCATGGCATGAGATGGCATGTTATGGGATGGCATTGTATGGGATGGCATTGTATGGGATGGCATTGTATGGGATGGCATTGTATGGGATGGCATGGCGTGGGATGGCATTGTATGGGATGGCATGGCGTGGGATGGCATGGTATGGGATGGCATGGCGTGGGATGGCATGGCGTGGGATGGGAATAGGAAGGAACATGAGATCTATCGACGTCACACACACCTGGATGAAGATGGGAACAGCATCACAGGAGACGAAGAAAAGCACGCAGATGGCGAAGGAGAAAAAGGCCAGCCGCTCCTGAAAGCCCTTCATGCTGGCAAAGGGTGGGGTGGAGCCATGGGCATGGATGGGAGGCAAGGGAAGAGAGGGAGATTGGAAAACTTGCTTCTCTGATTTTCTCCAGCTCTCTAATACCTCTTCCAATTCTGCTTCCCCAAGGCCCTTTTTTTGAACTCACTACGTTATGCCTTCCAAGCTTGAGTTTTAGCAGTTTCACTTTACCTATCGTTTGGTTGGAAGAAGATGGTTGCGAGCATTATCCCCGTTATTGCAATCAGGCCCAGCCGCAGAAGGTACAGCGCGGGCGTGCGAAACGTGATCAGGGCGTTTCGTCTCGTCAGCACCGCCAGCTCGGCGAACCATCCGTTACCATACTTTCTCGTTTCGTCAACCCCGCTTTCTCGTCGCCGCGTCTTCCCCCTTGCCCCTATTCTCCCCCACCACGTAGCCTTCCCGCTTTCGCCATCCCGATTCGCGACGCCCGTCTCCACATCCTCGTTAGTGCCTCTCTCTTTTAGCGCGCTCGGAAGTTGGAAATATCTGGAGTTCCAAAATCTCGATGCTGCAGCCGCAGCGCCTCGGGTTCTCGCACTTTCCGGCGATGCTGCTTCTGTGTTCAGGCCCTGCAATTGTAAAACACCCTCTAATTGAGGGTTACACCGCAGCGCAGCCTCTTCTCCCAGGTTCCCTAGCTTCCTTTCCCGCTCCTCCTCTTCCTCTTGCTGCCTCTCATATACCCGCGCAAAATCCACCAAATCCGCGACACCGCGGCTCGACCGCTGCATATCCTCGATAAGGTCCAGCGCGAACTCGGTGCTGTTAGCGAACTGCGGCACGGGGAACCCGGCCGACTCGAGGAAGCGCGGCAGCGCGGGAGGCGCGCCGTGAAAAACGGCGTGGCCCGACGCGAGGAGGATCAGGCGGTCTACTAGGCCGAGAACGCGGAAGCTGGGCTGGAAGGGGGAGAAAAAGGGGGGGTTGGTCGGCGGAAAGGAAAGGTGAGGAGAATGGGGGAATAGGGAGGGGGATGTGGGGGAGGGAGGGGGAGAGTGTCGGGATAAGGGCGGTGGTCGTCCCGAGCACGTAGAAGAGGAAACCCGGTCGTACCTGGTGCAGCACCATGACCGCGATGCTGTTCGTGTTGGTCGCGATGTCCTTAATCGCCCGCACCACGCGGAACGCGCTCGTCGAGTCGAGTCCCGACGTGGGCTCGTCCAGGAAGAGAATCTTCGGGTCGCAGATAATCTCCGTGCCGATCGCAACGCGCTTCCTCTCGCCACCAGAAACGCCCCTGCAAATGGATTGCAACCCCAAAAAGTACCGAGAACTTGGGTATAATCCTCATTTTCGCCACTTCTGCCAATCCCAGCAAAGAAGCAAGACTGAATCCAAGGGTTCTCGTATGACCCCTGACGATGGTGACAGGCACTTTTTCTAAAATTCTTCCTTACCTTTGTCCCTCGTCCCCGATCTTCGTTTCCGCCACTTCTGCCAATCCCAGCAACTCGAGCAACCGCGCTACCTTCGCCGCCTTCTCCTCCCGCGTCACGCTCTGCGGCAGGCGAAGCTCCGCCGCGAACATCAGCGTTTCGCGCACCTGGTTACCACACGCCACGAAAAGGTGACGAAGAATTAGCTCGTGCTCTATAGAACAGAATGCTACGAAAGGACGACAATATGTCGCACATACCGTGAGCGACGGGAACATGAGGTCGTCCTGCATCACATATGCCGAAACTCGTCGCATCGTTCCGCTTCGCACGGGTAACCCGTCAAGCTCCACTTCGCCCGTTCGCCGACCCGATGCTATACGGCACGCCAAGATGTTCAGCAGCGTCGTTTTCCCCGCTCCACTGGCCCCCATAATCGCTGTGATCTGCCCCGATTTTGCGCTGCCGCTGATGTCGACGAGAATCTTACGGCTGGAACTACTTCTCACGCCAATTCGCCTGGAAATCGAGCGCTCCAAAGAGCGTAGCTTGCTGCCAGAACCTGAAAACCTGTCTGAGTCGTGGGCTGTCCGCCCTATGTCCCCTTCTGAATGGCTGATTACGGGTTTGAGATTATCAGTACTACTGCCACTACCATTGCGACCAGCGTCGACGTGTATGTGAATTTCGTCGCTCGCCGCGCTTTCGTCGCTAGGCAGCGGCGCGATTTTTGAAGTGTTGATCTTACAGCACACGTTTTTCCGAGCTCTCGATGCGACAGAGTGCGAAAGGTTACGAAATCGCAACACAGATGTAACCCCACAAGGCGCAAACGAACCTTCGCCCGTGTCGCACATCCCTCCACCTCTTCCGCACCCGGGATCGCAATCGCGACCAGCCTCTGCATGATCGCACGCCGACGACGATGACGACGTCGTCGCAGAGTCGTCTGGCGACTCATCCGACTCAGGATCGCGGGGAAACTGCAGCGGCCGTGTCGTCAATTGCCCGCGCCCCTCGAGCACGGGATACGGCGCGCTGCGGATCTGATCTCTAGCAACCGAAGCATCGGTCGCAAGCGCGCAGCGTAACGGCTCTCTAGCGGCTGGGCTATCTGTCGCCGCTACGTGCCCCATCCCGATGTTAACCTGCCCGTAACCTCGTGCGAGGCCATCATGGGCGGCGTTCGTTGTCGCGAGATCCATGGCCAGCCCAGCATCGGGGGGCGGATTCGCGGATGGAAATCGGTCTTGAGTCCACGACCTCTTGCCGGCCACGGTTACCATTACCATGAACGGATATTGTACGTAATAATCTGGTTCCGATCTAGTGAATACCTTCTGAGGCGCCTCAAAGGTTTCGATCCACACCTTGGCGGTAACCCAAGTTTGGAGGTTACGGTCAGCTAGCCCAGGGTTACTAGATCAGCGATATCGTTAATAGTGCCTCATACTGAAAATTGATTTCTGTCAGAGGAAGCATTACCACTGTGATGGTGTAAGCAAACTTCCGGCACGACTACGATGACATTGTACCACGACTTTGCCCGTGTCTAGCGGTTGTTGGTCGGTTGCGGGGTATACTGAAATGAACGCAAGTTCGCAATGGAAAGGAGCCGTAACGACAGGCAAAACCAGCATGGACCTACCACGAACAAGGTTCAGACTTAGGAGCATGACGTGTGTTGTAGGTCGTTGGGTGATGAGGTCTATCTCTGTCAAAACAAACTGGAGCTTGCCGACATGGTTGCTCGTTGCTGAGGGGGAACACGGAACTGGATCCTGTGCCCAATTTGAGAGTAAAATGTTATTGGGAAGCTTGGGAATTTTGATATTTCATGGAATCCGCGGCTCGGTTATTCTCTTGTGGCGGTACGGGCGGTGAAAATTACTGACATGATCGATCGAATCGGACGGCTGAAAAAATATGGAAACCCTACAAAAGTGCTCGTTAGAGGGGGAATATCATTGGCGAGTGCGACCGGCTAACCGCAGGTTTCTAAATTGCACACGTGGACTTGTTGGTGTTTCCCCCCTGTCGCGCTTCTCGGGAAGATCCTGACTCACCCACCAACAAGCCCACATCGTGGTCGTACACATATTATAAGATGCTCCCTATAGGGACACTCTCATATGCCTACAAGGATGGTGAAATGGAACAAGGATTCCACACTTTGGCATATATAATGTCTGTTTTCAAGATATGAATTTTAACCATATATAATGTTTTATCATATTATTATGGGGAATAATTTACCCTATCTACACGAAAATGGCTATTTCAATCGTATTCATCATGCGTGTTACTTGTGGGATTAACACTGCTTGTAGACAAAACCAGCGTGTTCAGTAACGAGTCTCAAGCCTGGATTCTCTGCAGCAGCTGCTGGACCGCGTTCCTTGAGCCCCTGCTTCTTTCGATCCGTGCTGCAAAATGAAGCTGAAACGTGTTCGACGAGGAGCGCAGCGCACAACGACGGCGAAACTGTGAGAATAAGCAAACAAGAATGAATGAACTAGCAGTGAAAATGAGTACAAGTAGGAAACCCTAGAATTGTGTACCCCCTATAGGCTAACCCACTGTAGCCTACACAAGCATAACATATATAATGTTTGACACACCCCCATAGGCAAAGTGGGGGAGAACAAGGGGTCACAAGACCAGTCAAGCAAAGCAAAGCAAGCTCAGGGTGGATCACAAAGTCACCACACAGTCCGAGCACAAGAGCAGGGCCAGAGGCCAGTTCACATGCAGGAGTACAGACATATATATAAAACTAGACAAGCAAGAGCAGGTATATATATATGTCACAGTACAAGTGAAGTCAAGAGGAGAGCAAGTGAGGCAAGACAGGCACAAGACCCAGCTGTGTGCAAAAGCGCTGATGGTCACAAGGCGCGAGTGCCTTGGTGAACACATCAGCAGTGTTGGCCTCAGAGGCCACGAACGCAAGTCGCAACTGACCACGCTGCTGCAGCTCACGAGCAAGGAAGTAGCGGAGAGCAATGTGCTTCGTTCTGTGCTCCAAGCGCTGCTCTCGACACAAAGCCAGCATGGCCTTGTTGTCTACGTACAGCACGGGAGGAGAACGAGGCGGCTCTCCAAGGTCAGTCAGCAGGTAGGTGAGCCAGCGAAGCTCCTGTGCAGCCATGGCCCCGGCGTAGATCTCAGCCTCACAACTGGAGCCGAGAACCGAAGACGAGCGAGTAGACCGCCACGAGACAGAGCCGGAACCAAGGCTGAAGGTGTAACCCTGTGACGACCGCTGCGTAGCCTGGTCGTCAGCCCAAGAAGCGTCCGCGTGGCCGGTAAGGACCACTGGACTCCGCCCTCCAAGCACTAGCCCCATGCCCGACGTACTGCACAGGTAGCGCAATACCCTCTTCGCTGCAGCCATGTGCTCTGGTCTGTGTCTCCCAGGAGCAACATAGCGTGCAAGAATGCTCAGAGGGTATGCAAGGTCAGGTCGTGTGTAGGTCATCAGGTACATGAGGCAGCCAACAAGCTCTGCATACGGACCACTCGACTCTACGGACTCATCCGAAGGCAGAGCTGAGAGTGAGTGGCAAGTAGGCAGAGGAGTGGCCTGAGGCGAGGAGTACGTGAAGCCGAAGCGCTGAAGGACCTGCTGCACCATGTGTGACTGAGTCAAGGTAATGGTGCGGCGAGCTCTGTCCCGAGTGATCTGCAAGCCAAGGTAGCTGCGCAGTTCACCCAGGTCTGTGCACGTGTGTCTCTTCAGCAGCTCGGACTTCACGTAGGCGAGTCCAGCAGTGTCCGCTGTGGCAAAGACCAAGTCGTCGACGTACACGAGGATGTAGAACGGCGGCAGGGAAGTGTCGGTGCGAAGAAACAGCGACGGGTCAGAAGTAGAAGGAGCAAACCCAAGAGCCGCAAGCGTAGTCCTCAGTGTGTCGTGCCACTCACGCGGTGCCTGGCGGAGACCGTAGACTGGCCGTCGGAGGCTCCACTGGGTGCCAGGAGGGAAAGTCCCAGTGAAGCCAGGTGGACGGCGAAGCCAGATCTCCTCGTGCAGGCTACCCTGCAAGAACGCAGTGCTGAAGTCGAGAGAGTGAAGCTCGTAGTCGCGCAGAGCGGCTATGTGCAGCAGCACCCGAAGAGTAGTCATCTTCGGGGTGGGAGAGAAGGTCTGAAAGTAGTCAACTCCCTGCCGCTGACTGAAGCCACGAGCAACGTACCGTGCCTTGAAGACAGGTGGAGAGCCCGGCGGCCGCTTCACCCTGAAGATCCACATGCCACTGACGATGTTCGCCCCAGGAGGGGGAACCGCGTCAACGTAGGTGCCTGTGGACTTCCAGGAAGCCATCTCTGCATCCATAACTGCCTGCCACTGAGAGGAGTAGGGACCCTCTACGGCCTCCGCGTAAGAACGCGGAGTCGGGATGTCTAGTGCATCCGGGTCTCCCTCAGGGGCAAGCAGTACAGACGCGAGATGAGGTGAAGCAGCCGCTAGACACTGGAACTCCTCCTGCCTGTCCTCTAGGACGTCCGTGCTAAGAGCACACTCACCCCCGACGGACGGAGGACAGACAGACGCAGACTCAGCAACAAGACTAGCAGCGTAGTCGAGACGACAGCGAGCAGCAAAGTCGACGAGCTTAGCGACTAGAGCAGACGCAGCAGTGGACTCAAAAGAGGGGTCAGTGACGACAGTAGCAAGCAGACGCGTGACAGTAGGACTGGCAGCACGAAGAGAGTCCGACTCAGGGTCGGCAAGCGCAGGAAGAGAGGACTCAGGAGGAGAAGGCAAAGGGGCACGCAGAGGAGCAGTGGACGGACGCAAAGACATCCGGTGCGTGCCAGGGACAGGAGGAGGACGCTGACGCGACTGCGACCACTAGCGCGAGCAGCACGAACAGGCGACGCGGGACGAGACGCAGGCTCACGACGCTCAGCAAGACCTCCAGTAGGACCAGTGTAAGGAGAGGGAGCAGGCAGTGGAGAGGAAGGCTCCAGCAGGGACTGCGACTGGACAGGCGGTGGACCCTCTACTGGAGGAGAAAGACCAAGAACCTGCTGCAGGAGCGGAACGAAGTACGGCCGAGGCCGCGCGGCAGCTCCAGACTCAGCAGGGACAGCACCAGCACCCTCAGCGACAGCACCAGCGCCACCCACACCTCCAGCGGCAGGACCAACAGCAGTAGGCTCAGCACCAACGCCCTCAGCAGCTCCAGCTCCAGGAGGACCCGCAGGTCCAGCAGCTCCGGGACCGGCAGCACCCGCACCCTCGACGGTCGAAGAAGCTCCAGCTCCAGCTCCAGCAGCACCTCCAGACTCAGCAGCACGCCTCCAGCGGCGAGCGAACCACTCGCGCAGCTCCTGTGGAGAGAGGGGCTCGCGGCGAGACGCAAGCAGCAGGAGAAACCCCCAGGCTCAGCAGCTCCAGACGCAGCACCCCCAGGCTCAGCAACTCCCAGCTCAGCACCCCCAGACTCAGCAGCTCCAGGCACAGCACCCCCCGGCTCAGCACCCCCAGGCTCCGCACCCTCCGCAGTAGCACCCCCAGGCCCAGCACCCCCAGCAGTAGCACCCCCAGGCTCAGCACCCCCGCGCACAGCACCCCCAGAGTCAGCACCCCCAGGCTCAGCACCAGAGTCACCAGTAACCTCGACCGGGTCAACGGCGTCTACCTGGGACACACCTGAGGGGCAGGAACCTGAGGGGGGAGGGGGTCTACCGGGGGGGGAACCGGCACAAGGAAGTCCGGGGGAGGGGGGAGGGAAGGAGTGCGGTAGGGGAAGAGACGGTAGAAGGGGACTAACTCGTCGAACGTGACGTCCTGGGAGGACAGAACACGATGAGAGGAGGGGTGGTAAAACTGCCACCCTGGGCGTCAGTGGGGAAGCCAAGGAAGACACAGGGAGCAGCACGAGGGGACAGCTTGTCCGCAGACAAGTCGCGGACAAACGCCCGAGATCCCCAGACACGAAACACAGACGCATCGCCAACCTTCCCCGTCCACAGCAAGGCTGGGGACATCGCAGGCCGAGAGACCCGGGGGTGAAGGTTGAGCTGATGCGCCGCGTACCTCACCGCAAACGGCCACAGAAAATGGGGGGCAGCCGCATGCATCATGGACGTACGAGCGACATCCATGACCATGCCAATGCGGCGCTCAGCAATCCCATTTTGCTGTGGTGAGTCCGGAAGCGTGAAGGTCTGGCGGATCCCCCGTGCACGACAGTAGTCCTCGCAGAAGGCGAGAAAGAGAACTCTCCGCCTCCTGTCCGAGTGCAGACGCAGAACAGGAAAGTCCGAGCCGAAGCTCTTCCTGAGTTGGAGACGAGCCTCGCGGATCCAGTTGATCAGCACCTCAGTGACCGCACCCTTGCTGCGCAAGGGGAGGACTGTGGTGTAACGCGAGTAATCGTCAACCACCAACAGGAAGTAGCGCTCGTGACCCTGCCCACGGATGGGGGCTGGGCCCCACACATCCATGTGAAGCGTCTGCAGGGGAGCCTCTGTCGGGGGGAAGTGGGAGGAGTGAGGAGTAGCCCGGAGGCGACCCTCGACACAGGGGACACAGGAAGGTCCTGGCCCGGAGGGGAGAGGAGGGAGAGACTGGGGAAGACCAGAGACAAGGACACGGGAAGCCATGCTCTGAAGACGGGGCAAGGAGGGGTGACCAAGACGGTGGTGCCACAGGAGAGTCTCGTGAGACAGGAGGCGACAAGAACAGGGGGCAGACTCAGGACCCTGACCGGGACGCAGCAGCAAGCACCTGACCTGACGCAGCCACCTGACCAGACTCAGGGACAGGAGGAGACTCAACGGTCAGGGTGTAGAGACTCGACCCCGGCCGAGCCGACGAGAACGTGGCCAGGGTGTCGGCCTGTGCTTGCCTCCGTGCAGTGGGTCACCCGCTGACTCGCAGGAGTGAACTGGTGAACCCCCACATCCTGCAGGTCCGCGCCACTCACCAAGTTCGTAGAAAACGAGGGAAGGTACACACCAGACAGGGTGCCCGAAGGGGCAGCCGGACACGGGAGGACAGTGGAGAAGTGAGACAGGACAGGACCCCCAGAGGGGTCAGCAAGGGAGACTGCAACCGGCCGGCCGAGCGGCGTAAGGGTAGTGCGGTCTCGAAAGAAGGAGCGAGAAGCCCCGGAGTCAAGTGTGAAAGTGAGGGAGGACGAGGACGACGCAGTACCTGAGAGCGCAGTCTCACCAGTACCTGAGAGCGCAGACGCACTGGCACCTAGAGCAGCAGCCTCATAAGCACCTAGCGCAGCAGTACCAATGCCCGGGTCGGGCTGGAAACACCGGTAACCCTCATTCTCCTCACTATAAGTCACAGCATACATAGCAGCAAGGATAGCATCAAAATCAAGATCAAAGATCGCTACACCAGCCCTAAGAAGCTCATCCCAGCGAGGGATCTCACTAGCCCCAGGGAACTGCTGATGCCAAGCGTCCGTCAGGCGGCCAAAGCAGCGCTGGGTGGCGTGGGCACCCCCACACTGCTCACCCGCGCGGTCGCCGGAACGAAGAACGTAGGTGCAGGGACCAGTACCCCCCCCCTCTGACGCCCAGCGTACCACTCACGAAGCTGCTGAGGCGGAGGGATGTCCCGCGAGCGCTGCTGCTGCTGTCGCTGCGTGCGCTGGCCACCACCACCGCCGCTACGCTGCTGGGTACCACCCCGACCAGCTCCACCTCCTCCACCACCACCCCGCCTCCTCCGCTGCCGCCTCCACCGCCTCCACCTCCGCCGCCTCCACCTCCGCCGCTGCCTCCACCACCACCGCTGGCACCACCACCACCGTCTCCGCCGCTGCTGCCACCACCACCACCACCCCCGCCACTAGTCCCGCCGCCACCCCCACTCCCTCCGCCGCCACCGCCGCCACCGCCACCGCCCCCTCCAGCTCCACCCGCGCCCTTGCCCCCCCTTGCCCTTGCCTGGAGCGACGTCTCTCCCAGTAGGGGCAGACGCCGCGCCGACCGACTCAAGACCAGCAGGGTCGGCCAGCAGCAGCAGAGGCATACAGAGGCAGCAATGGGGAAGGAAGCACCCCTCAAAGATGGGGGTGCGAGGGTCACCACGAAGCACCTACAGCG